TTGAAAACGTGTTGGAAAAATATCAGAAAAAGTACAAGCTTATTTTAAGCACCTTCGCGCCTTATCTTTAAGAACGTAAATAAATCGATGCAAAATGAGAAAATGTAACCAAAACAAAGCGATAACAAAACACAAACTTAAATTAAAATAAATTTAATACGAAATCATTGTACATTTAGAAAATACGAGCAAAATTGAGGAACTTTCCGAACATCTCCTGGTAGTTAAACCTATCTAAGATTAAGTTTGATTCGATCCGGCCAGATTCGGGCTCGGATACTGCAGAAAGCAAATTAATTTTCCCTCAGTTCGGGTTTTGTGAAAAATCAGTCTTAAATTGTAGACACAAGCTAATGAATATGGAAAAGCGGTAGATGAAAAAGAAAAAAGAACATGACTAGTCAACAACTCAAGCAGGGCCAGGAACCGATCCCAAAAACCGCTTCCGGTCCTTGCTGACAATTGAAACCGAAAAAGCAACAACAAAATTCTAAATCATTGCAGCAGCAGATTTCAAAATTAAAAGGAAAAAAAAAACGAAATTAACAAAATTCATAACTGCGGTTCGAAGCTTAGCGGAAAAAGTGTATGAAAGGTATGTTAAAAATAAAAATCCAAAAAGCTGAAGCGAAGATTGAAAGCAAAAATAATCTTTATGTTCCCCAAATCTCTGTAAATGTTTAGATGTATGAAAGAAAACCAGTTGAGGACACTACTTAAGTTAGGTTTTGGTGGGGCTAAGACCGACTACCAATAAAGATGTGTATGTAAAAAAAAAAACTAAAATGAAAACTATAAAAGTAACGCTATTCATCCTAACCCATTTGCCCGAGATTTAGTTTTAAAATTTGATATGTATCTATACCTTGTCCTCTATCCACCAGCTAACAATATGTATGTAATCCCGATTTCCATCTTTTGAGATTTGCTAACGATTGACCGAGTATTTGACGGCGGTCCCATTTAGATTTCTGAGTTCCTTTCCCGAAAGCGTACATTTCAAAAACTCTATTGGGATTTGTGGACCGGGCCGAAGCGTTGGCAGTTCTCAAGCCTCGAAAATAAAACCAAGCTGCTCGGCCCAGCGGCCAGGACATCGGCTTTCGGCGGGCCGAGCAACACCAGGACATCCAGATCCGTTTCGCACCATAGCACCGAAGGCAATACAAGCAACCAGCGGCGAGAGAGAAGCAAAAAAAAAGAAAACAGAAGACAAGGCAAGGGCAAGTTTCGAACCAAGGATTTCGGTAACATTTCGAACGCAACTTTCGGCAGAGTTTCGAACAACTTTGGATTAGGCTTTTGTTGTTAATATGTTTTTTTGCGACCACGTCTCCATAGCACTCGAGCAACATGCAATATGCAACAGCAACATGCAACACACAAGCACACAGGCAGCAAGCAGCAACGTGATACACGAGTTGAGCAAGTGAAAAGCAATTTTTGAAATGGGGCCACAACGTCCGATCTAAAGTGCCTTCAAGTAACAATGAAAACAAAAGAAAACAAAAAGAAAATACCAAAAATAAAAACTGTTAATTTTTTATGTGACTAAATCAAGCGAGAAGGAAGAAATTATAAACAAAAATTGTATAAAGAAATTAAATGTGTAAAAAGTATAAAAAAATTAAAACAAAAACTAAGCGATAACGATGGTGAACGCGAAAGCGGAAACGCAAACGTAAACGATGAGAAAGGGCTCCAAATAGACCGGAATGCAAGCAAAAACCAAAACTGCCTGCAACTTTGGCCTGGTCACACTGACCCTCCGAAGGAATTTTCTGGCCTGTCCAACAAAGCAGCGGAAAATCGATGGCAAATCTCAAGCAAAAACAAAATAAACCAAATCCCCACTTTCGAGTAATACCCTAGCAAAAAGTTGTAATTGACTACCTAAGTAAGCGAAAAAATATGTATGTATTTAGTTCTAGTACGTAAACGAATGGAAATTCACATAAAACTCCATTTAGACGAACATTATGTGTGGGAAAATTATTGATTTAGACTCGCGAAGACGGCAACAAAGGTTTGGATATAGACACCTCGAGTAAACCCCTATACCCCATGCATACGCCTATAGCGCTGAGTTGCTCATCTATCAACGTACTTTAAAACACTTTAAAACACGACACAGCCACACTGACACTTGCATGTACTATGCTACATTTAATTTAGATTTAGAACCGGAGAACTAAGTATTCAGCTCAAAGTTAAGCGGAGAACGATGAGTAATGAACTAGGAACGGCATACTGAAGAGGTGGCAATTAGGTATAGAGCGAACTATATTTAAGGACTCGGAACTAGCGGCTCCAAAAAAAAAACGAGAAGCGAGTGCGCAGCGACACAGGATCGCAGATAAACTATAAGACTTTCCAGAAACGAAGGGGGAAACCTGCCGTTTCCCACATTCCTTCTTTTTCTTCCTACCCCTAACACACTGCAGACACACACACAAGAGATCTTGAGTTGGCAGCATCGTAATCGTTTCTTTAGTCGACGATGGGAAAGAACTAGCAAAAATTAGCAAAATTTAAAATTGATTATGTATCACACAGTCACAGACGCACACCTCATCCACACACACCCACTCACCCAGACACCATGTATATAAGTATGTATATTTCTTTGAGCTGAACATTGTATAACCAAACGATTACGATAACACACACACACACGAAACACAAAACGAAAACCAAAATGAAAACAAGGACACACCGAGGTGTGTAAAGGGTTCTTTGCTTACAACTTTTCAAACGTATTAAACCTTTTCGGCCAACCTTTAGGATTGAAAATAGATCGACTTGAGGAACACAGCCCCGCCCAGCCGCGTCCAAAAAACAGTGATCGGTGGGCGGGAGAATGCATCGTTTCGGTTGATAGATGCAAACGATCCAAATTTATTGGGCCTCACGGCCAAGTGAAACCAAATCGAGCCATGAAATTGATTTATGTTCAATTAAGCAAGCGAAAACGCAAGGCGAAAATTGTGAAAAATATAGAAAAATGAATGCTTTCAGTTACAATACAACAATAGACCGGAATGATTTCCAAGCAATAGTACAAACAACTTTAGAGATAACTTTTATAATGTAATTGTAAACTAAGAGGTAGCAGAAGAGCTCCGGGTTGGGCGAAAGGCGGGGATAAATGCCAAAAAATAAATACTCCTCGACAGCCCGGAGCGAGGAGAGAATGTAATGAGAGGAAAATCCAGCGAATGCATATACGATTTACCCTAATTTATCATCAGTTAACAATTTTTACACACATTTTGTTTGAAATTTGATTGGTGCGAAGTAAGCGAAATTAAAGGCCAGCAGTCGCCGATGACATTTTCAAAATTCCAACTTGACACGAGCATTAAATGCCGCAGAACCTTCCCTTCCTCAGAAGCTGGAGGCCAAGAAAAACGATTGAATCAAGTCAAATCACTTCACACACAGTTTAAATTTATAAGAATATGTACTAACAATAGGAAACGTCTCCCAATTTCCCAACACCCCAGTGTCCCTGTCCCAAAACTCACACATTACTATTTACCACAATATGAAACGAAAGCAAAGCAAAGAATAGAAATGAAAAGAAAACCAAAAGTAATGCAAAAGTAAAATCAAGCAAAACAAACATATATGAATGTAATACGCGGTGGTAACATACAAAGTTGGGAAACGAGAAAATTTCACAATCGACTATGTCGCGTATACACTTACGATAGTACGATATACTAACTTTATATGATTAACTAACTCATTTCGAATGAACCATAGCGATATATGTATAAGCCACGTTTTGGTTTCGGTTTCGATTTCGGTTCCGTTTTATACTTTGGTTTGGTGTACACTTTTGGAAACTTCGGAAACGCATTTCAGGCCAGCAAATTGAAAAGAATTAACATTTTTGAACCAGTTTTGTTCCCGCAAAATCGGAAAAATCGCACAAAATTGTACATTTAGCGCAAACAAAAAATTGCAATTTAAAACCCCGAAAACGGAAAATCGAAATTTGGATTTACATTTAGAGAATGCATTTAGCGCAAAGCAAAAGCAAACGACACACCACACTACACCATCACACCACGAATTGAATGAAAATATGTATGAGGTAAATTCAATATTTGGGATATAAGCGAATATAATTACATACAAATTTATATTTATGCAAGCGACAAAATCGAAAGACAACATACTAAAAACGTGTAATGGAAAGAAAAATGTAAAGCAAGAGCAAAACACTAAACTACAATATGACATTTTTAATCGAAAAAAAAACAAACAAAACTTATTTTATTGAAAAATTATGTAAAATTTACTAAGGAAAAAATACAAAAAACACACAATAAAACTATATTGTTTATTTTCATCTTTAAAAATAAAGTTTTAAAATCGTATAAAAATAGTAATTGTCCTCACGGAGTTGTTTTCTTGTTGGAAAAGTAAAGAACGGTAAGTACATTGGCAAAGCAATACTAAAAGTAAAAGTTTTAAAACTTGTTTTAATTATTAATAAAAATTTTATGGTCCAAAAATTGTATCTTTTTCAAAAAAGAAGGAACATTTAACCGAACGGAAATTACTACACATTCATGTATGAATGAAATGTATTGCAGTGATTTTGCAGCGATTTTGGTTAAACCTATTAGCCCGATGGCAAGAAAACATTGAAATAATTGTAAAATATTTTAAGAAACCGCGAGATCAAAAAAGTTGTACCCGATTGTTTCTTTGGCACTATGGGAACGACCCATCAACAAGAATTTTTAGCATGATCGACGTACCGTATAAAATGATGCGAAATGGACTAGAAAGGAAGAAAACTGTTTTAAAATCAAATTCCTACTGGCATACGTGTCGTATGAGTAATTTGTATTAAAACTAGCGAAGCTTACACCCAAACCTTAGCGAAGACACCTAATACTACACAGTTAGCGAGTGCATGCTCCTACTCGATTAACTCAGCTTTCGATTAATTGTCGTAATCGAAAAAATGCCATCTCTAAAGCGTTAAGCAGCAACAAAAACAGCTGTTCGTACATTACGCAAAGGTTTTTTCCATTTTTGTTTATTAAAAATGTCGCTGTTGGCCGCCTTTGCTAGGTGAGTAGATGCAGGGGCATCTTGGCTAATACCCCCGCTAATCCTTGGCCAACATTTTCTGTTACAGACTGGGATTACAGAGGAGTGGCGGAGTGACCGGCGCCGTCACTGCACGGTGTCTCCATATATCGCCAGTTCTCTGCGCGGAACCCCTCAAGAAAAAGAAGAAACTGGATCCGCAGATTGTCAAGCAGCGGGAGGATCGCAAAAAAAAGAAGATCGAGAAGCAGATCCGTCGGCTGGAGAAGAATGCACGCCAGCTGAAACCAGTTGAGGAACTGGAGGTCCCACTGGAGCTCATCGATGATAAAGAGTAGGTGTTCATGTGGGCTACCATAAGATCATTAGATGTAATGTTTTCCTCCCCTTTAGTAAACGCCAGAGAAAGTTAACCCCACTGGGCAGCGCAGAGCTGGAGGAACGTGCCCTCCTCAAAAAACAGTGGGCGCACTATAAGCACGACGAGCGAGTAGCCGACTTCCAGATTATCGACCGGCTGGTCCAGGCACAGAACAAGGCTCTGGCGGAGCTCCGGCGCGAGTCCGAGGAGCTCTACCAGGCGGCCATCGAAGTGGACCTCCAGTTGCTTCCTGTCGCCGTCAAAGGACCCGTGGCCACGCCCCCCATTAAGAACTATGCCAGTCCCGATGGCGACTACCTGCATCAGTCCATGAAATGGGAGGTCAAGTAGGGTGTACATGTGCCTGAAGTCAGAGATTTGAAATAAAGAAAACGCCTATCGCCAATTTTATTGGATGTCCATATTTTTGTAGCCTCTTGAGTACAAATAACAGATCACTAGATATACGTGACTTCATTGGAAGCTCAAGGCTATAAATTTATGCTTTTGTCCCATACAAAAAAAGAAAAGTTATTTTGAATTGCATCGAATTTCCGACATTGGAATTAAATAATGCTTTTGGAGTCCATTTGATGCGTTTTGTGGCGGTTTTATTGTTATCAGTGAAGAACGAGAAAAAGGCAGGTGGTCGTGCCTGCCGAGCCCTTTCGGTGTACTTTCGAAATAAATAATACGCGAGACGTAGCAGTGACTGCTTTTGATGTTGATCTTGGGATGGGGTTACGTAGCAGCTCCTTACGCGGGTGTGGTGGCGTTGGTCTTGGCAGCGGCCTGCCGCTTTTTCACGCCCCAGTTGTACACCCGCGCCATGTTGACCTCCGTGGTTGTGATTTGATCCCTGCAAGAGAGATTTGACTTAGAAAAGAACATATTCTTGAAGGAGGCAGAGCACTACCGACCTGAGGAAGTCCTGGTCGTGTTCCACGGACTTCAGGTTGCCCACCGCCGACGTGACGTTCTGCTTGAGCAGCGCCTCCGCCTCGTCCAGCGGATATTCCAGCATCACGCTGGCCCCCAGCCAGAGGTAGACTGTTTTTGTGGGCGGCACCAGCGTCTTGATGAACACCTGGTCGCTGAGCAGGAACTGCGTCTCGCGCTCCTCGTCCTCCTTGCGCAGCACGTTGACCATCTCCAGGGAGCGCTCCAGGTCGGGGATCTGGGACTTGAGCTTGCGCCGCCGCGCCTCCAGGTTGTAGGCCATGAATCGGTACTTGCCGTGCTGCTCGTCCAGCCGCTGGAGCACCTTCTCGCAGTTCTCGTTCTCCGGCTGCGCCATGAACGAGTCGATCTCCTCCTGCAATCGCCGAAGGAACGTGGATTAGCCTCAATTCTCCAGCTGCAGGCGCAGGTGCGAGCTTGTAGGTTAGGACCACTCACCAGGAACACTGCCTCCGGGATGCCGGCGAAGGTCTTCTGGTTTTCCGGTAATTTGGGCATTTCCACCGAGTCCATTATGCCAGTCATCCTGATGCCTTTATCGGTGCTGTCAGCAATTGCAAATTAATTTCCAGGAGGCTGTAAAAGTCGATTGGTGAGTCAAAATTCAGAATAGAGGTGGAAGCCAACATCAATGTTATCGATGGTTTCAAAAAACCGCTATTATCGATATTTGGCGGGGACTGCGATGCTTATCAATCTCTAACGACATTTTCTTGCCATAACTTTTCAAAACGCCAAACAAAGAGCTTTTAGGTTTTTTGATGTGCTTGCTCTCGACTGTTTTGGGTATAATGATCCTTAGCCAAATAGTATCATAGGTTCAGGCAGTAAATTTGTTGCACAGTGTAATTTATGACGCATCTCTAAGGCCATCACCAGCTTATATCGATAACTCCAACAAATCGCAGCGTCGATTGACGCGCCTGCTTGTGAAATTGCGAGCCGAAGAAAATCTGAGGATGAGCACCTGGAATCCGGAGAACGATGTGGATCTGCTGTCCGGCTCCGAGGATGAGGAGGAAGTGGCCATGAAGCGGGACTACCACGGGCGGGAGGCACTACTCTTCGTGGTGGACGCGAATCTGCAGAGTGCCGGCGTGGAGCGCCTTATGGAGGCACTGAACATCATTCGGACAGCCTTTATATCCGGAATTCTGGTGAACGACAAGGACCTGATCGGACTTATCTTCGCCAACACGAAGCACAGTCCCCCGCCGCTGGAATCTAGCGCCTTGGACAGCATTGTGATGCCAGATAATTGTGCTGTGTTCCTGCCCCTGCGACAGCTTACCAAGCCCATTGTGGAGCACTACCTGGAGTTTATGGGCGGGGTGGAGACGCAGTTCGGCGAGATGTATGGCTTGGCTGAGCCCGATGGACGCGGGAGATTCGATCTAATGATCCGTCTTTGCATTGAACTCCTGGAGAAGTGCGGCAAAAAGCTGAACAATGCCAAGATCGTTTATTTAACGGATGTGAGTACGCCGCATCCCTCGTCCAGCAATCACTTCCAGGCTGCCCTGCAGAAGGCCAGCGATCTGGAGGGCAAGGAGTTCGAGTTCCATGTTATTCCAATGGTGGATGACTTCGACTACGAGCCGTTCTACAAGGAGTTCATTACGCTCTCAAGGGGTAAGAAAATGTTTGGTTATTTTAATGAAGTCATTTCTTCAAGATGTTCATATGCGAAGTCTGTTCCCCTCGTTGGCGTTTAAATTTGGCCTTTGAGGTTTTAAGACTTCGCAGATCAATCATGTGCAATCATTCACCCGCGTCCAAGTGAAGCCCAATTGGCTCGTGGTTTTGGATTGGCTTACAAGCCATTAAATAAAGCCACTCAATATTTATTTAAGTTATATAATTTTAAGATCTCCTTTTCTAAATTATTGAAGTAACACAACTCTTATCCCTCGCAGCCATCGAACTGGACGCCTTCCAAGTGCCAGATGCCCAGATGCTCCGCGAGATCTTGGCCGATCGCAAACTGAAGCAGGATTTCCTGCGTCGCTGCCTTGGCCACTTCAGCTTCTATCTGGGCCCCAATCTGTCCATGTCCGTGCAGTACTACAACTACTTTCAGCGACGCGCCTATCCGCGCAAGGTCCAGATCCTGCGAAGGGACAACAGCGTAGTGCGCAGTAAGCGGGTGATAATGGTGCAAAAGAAGGACGAGGAATCACAGGAAATTCTCCACGAGTACCAAATCAAGACGACGGGCGGATGGTATAGTTGCAACGTGGGCGGAAAGAACCTACGCATCAGCATGGATCAGTTAAACAGGGTGCGCGACTTGCACAAGCCGCGAATGATGCTGTTGGGGTTCAAGCATCGCTCTTCCCTGCCGGAAGTAACCTACAGCAAGCCCTCGAACTTCATGTATCCGGACGACCAGAGCATCATCGGGTCAAAGCGTCTGTTCCGGGCGTTGTGGGAGCGCTGTTTGGCCCGCGAGAAGATAGCTATCTGTCTGTTTATGTGCAAGCGCAAGTCCATTCCCCGCTACGTGGCTCTAGTGCCTGTGGAAGCCCCGGATAAGGATGAGGAGAAGGGCTACCGCTCGCTGCTCTGTGGCGACGGGTTCAAGATCGTCTACCTGCCGGAGTCAAAGCACATCCGTCACATCGACATGTTTGACTGGAACAATACAGCGAACACGGCCAGCGACGAGGGCGTCGAGTTTTTCCAGAAAATCATTAAGAAGCTCCGCGTTGACTACCAGCCCAATTTGATCAACGACCCAAGTCTGGACACGCTGCAGGCGAATCTGCTGGCTCTCTCCCTGGACTTCACGTCGGATAGCAAGGGCATCGAAAATCTGCTGGACAGCACGCAACAGGATAAGCGCATCGAGAAGTTCTTGCCCGATTATGAGAAAATCTTCGTTGAAGAGGTGGAACCAGCCAAAAAGCGAGCGGCCAAATCCGACACAACAGGAGCAAGTGCCCCAAAAGTAGCCAAGATAGATGAAGAGCAGCTTAAGAGATTTGAGTTTGTTCAGGGTCTGATCAAGGATCAGCGCTTGATCAGCTGCACGGCCACGCAACTTCAGTTTATTTTGGCCCATCACTTCGATTGTAGGATGGTGAAGTCCGCAACCAAGGCGAAAATGGTAGCGCAAATCGAGGAACTGAGTATTTGAATGGGGTATTGCATACCATGGGGAAAAGTGATATGAATGTAATAATTCAAAGTATACACATATACTTAAAACATAATTGCTAATATTTAAGATCGTTTTGTTTACAAGTTTAAGTTTGCGAATTTTCTGATTGATTTGCGCTTAATGTTAGTTCGGCACCCGTTTTAGCCCTCGATATACAAAATAAAGTGGAGTCATAATTCATAATTTAATAATTAAATGGCGTTGTTATTCGCAGAACTCAACAATTTTGTGAATACAGTAAGTATATAAGTTTTTGATTTCCTTCACGACCAAGTACAACTTTAAAACTTTACAAATATTTATAAAAATTCGAAATAGTAGGCATAAAGAAAAAAGTCACAGCTTACATAAATAGTTTAAAACTATTTTTGAAAAGCGATAATTCGATAATAGTAAAAAAGCCATCTCTAAGAGGCCAGTGTTGGACAACGTAACTTTGGGCCAACACATGTCCGCGCCGGCTTCTGAATTGCGAATTTGGACATTGCGAATTAATTTATTTTTATTGCGAACCGCTGCCACAGAATGTCGCTGCAATTCCAAAACGACTGCGGAGATTCCGTGAAGCAGGCGATCATCGAGGAGCTGCAGAACCTCCTCAGCTCGGACACGGGTGTCCTGCAGCAGGCGGAGAAGCGGACGAAGCAGCTGGAGTACACAGAAGGTGATTTGGCGGGCAGTCAGTTTGGCTTGGCGTGGGTGCGGTTCATAGGCACATGCACATGTTCCACCTAATCCATCTTACCCTCTTGCAGGCTATGGCGTCTACCTGTCCGAGATCATCATGAACCAGGCGCACGAGCTGCCACTGCGCCAGATCGCGATCGTGATGCTCACCCGCTACGTGGAGAACCACTGGGCGGATGACCAGGAGGCGGGCGGCAAGGCCAAAGGGTGTATGGCCAGCGAGCAGGCGAAGCGCACCATCCGCAACATCCTGCCCAACGGACTGTACGACCCGAACTCCAAGATCCGCTCCTCGGTGGCGCACACCATATCCACCATTGCGGCCACAGATTACCCACACAGTTGGGCCGAACTGTTCGACATCATCGTGAAGTGCCTGGGCGGCAACGAGGACTCCATACACGGAGCCATGCAGGTCCTGCAGGACTTCACCTACGACGTGGACCAAATTAAGGAACTGGGACCGGTGGTCATACCCGAGGTCTATCGCATTTTCGACTCGGAGCAGAATTACTCCATCAAAACCCGCGTGTCGGCCATCCGCATTTTGAAGCCACTGTTCGCATCCATTGCCACACTGATCACCAACAAGGAAGAGCAGAGCACTATGATGAGCTCCATTCTGACCAATTTTATGGACAAGCTTATGCATTACCTGAGCATGAATAGCGGCGCCGGATCGAGTTTCCTTCTGCGCTCTGAGATCATCAAGGGTGGGTTGCCTTTGCTCTTTCCCAGAAAGTAAACTAAACCGGTTTCTTCCACTTTAGTGTTTACCCACTTGGTCAACGAGACGCCCAAGTACATCCACCCCTTCATGGACCGCGTTTTGCCCATCATCTGGCAGCTGCTCACACAGATAGCCGAGACCTACGTGAAGGTATCGGTGAACCAGACCGAGTCGAATCCTCTGGCCAGCGGCGACAGCGAGGAGGATGACGAGCAGACCAATTTCCAAACGCTAATCATCCAGATCCTTGAGTTCATCAACTGCATCCTGACTTGCAGCAAACTGCGCAGCTGCATAAAGAATGTGCTTGCCGATCTAATCTACATCACTATCGTATACATCCAGTTGAGCGAGGAGCAGCTGGAGGACTGGCAGGACGACCCGGAAAAGTTCGTGGACGACGAAGATGATGGCGGAGTGGAGCTGACAGTGCGCATGTGCGGCCGCGATGTTCTGCTGGTGAGTGGGAGCATCCTCCTCCAAAGACTCCTCATTCTAACTGTTTAACCTTAATCCCTAGGCCATCAATGACGAGTTTGGGGCCAAAGCCATTCAGCCATTGCAAGAGGCTTTGGGCAGGCACTTCAGCGTGGCCGAGGCGGAGAAGGCGGCCAACAATCCGAACTGGTGGAAGATTCAGGAGGCCTGCATGGATGCCGTGCACAGTTTCCGCGACATCATCCTCCTGGGCGACACCACATTTGACCTGCTGAACTATTTGACCATAGTTCGGAATCTGCTTGTTCACCAGGAATCGCCGCCTCTGGTGGGCCGCGCCCTTTGGACCCTGAGCACCTACTCCAAGTCGGACCTCTACAATCCACAGATGTTGGCCGAGATCCTTGATGTCACGCTGTGCAGCCTGTCGCCGGAGAAGTCGCACATCCTGAGGATCAGTGCTGTGCGCACCCTTAACGAGTTTCTGCAGGCGAACGAGGCGAGCGAGGGGGAGAAGCGCACTTTATTGGTGTCCAAGCTGCCTGGATTCTTGGACGGAATCATGGCTTTGGTGCCGGGCTGCAAGGCCGCCGTGTTGGCCCTGCTAATGGAGGCCTTGACCATTATGGTCAAAGTGAGTTGATTAGAAAAAGCTGCTAGCTACTTGATGTAAACAAAATTGGTATCCCTCATTTCCAGTTCGATGCTGAGTTCGCCTTTGCTGGCCAGGCCAAGATCACGCCTTTGACCATTGCCGTGTTCCTTAAGTACACGGAGGATCCGTTTGTGCTGGAAACGGTCCAGGATCTCATCAAAGCGCTGTGCCAGCGCAAAGAGTGTCTCGGGCCGCTACAGGAGAAGTTCATTCCCACCATCGTTAGCATTCTGGGGCTGACAGGAGCGGCTTCCACGGAGAAGCAGGACATTGCCCTGGACGTTCTCAACACAATCGTGCGCTACACGGAGCCGCCGCTGAGCAACTCCCTGCTGGAGACGGCCTTTCCCGCCGTGATCAACTGCGTCTTGCACACCGACGACCATGCCGTCATGGTTGCCGGCGGCGAATGCCTGCGCAGCTTCATCAACGTCTCCCCGGAGCAGATCTGCAGTTACAAGAACGGCGAGGGCATCAACTGCATCATGCAAGTAGTGGCCACTGTCCTCCTGAATCCCATGAACAGCGAAATGACGGCTGGCGGTCAAATTGGACGCCTCGTCATCACCATTATCACCAAGATGGGCAGCATGCTAGGTCAGAATGTGGACATGCTGCTGAAGGCTGTGATTAGCAAGATGCAGAACCTCGAGTGCCTAAAAGTTATCATGAATCTTGTTTTGATATTCGCACATCTGTTCCTCACGCAAATGGACGCGGTGCTCAATTTCCTGTCCACCGTTCCCGGACCAAACGGTGAGCCAGCGATGCAGTTTGTGCTCTCCAATTGGCTTTCACGCCAGAACTCATTTTTCGGGACCTACGAGCGAAAGGTAATTTAATAATTTACAATAAATTATTTGAAATAATCAATCATTGTGCTATTTAACAGGTCACCACAATGGCTCTCTGCAAGCTGTTTGAGTATGGGGTGGCCACACAGGACAACCGCTTGACCACAATAACCTTCAAAGAGTTGGTGGACGATCCCACAGATACCCGCAGACGCACCCGCTCCGTGGCGGCTGCAACCCAAAAGTGGGTGACCATTCCGGCGCTCGTCAAGATCTTCAAGGTGTTGATCTCCGAGTACCAGCATTTCCAGGAGGGCAAGACGGACGAGCCGCTTACGGACAGCGAGGAGGATGGTGAGGATGGGGAGGAGCCCGGAACTCCGGGCAAGCCGCGCTACATCTCAGATCTGTTCGAATCGGACGAGGACAATGCCGAGGACGAACAGCAGCTGCAGGAGCTGCTCAAGGAGATCAACTACCAGGGCGACATTTCCGACAACCTGCAGAAGTTCCTCACCAACTTCGCGCAGAACGAGCACTTCCCCACTTTCTATGAACACCTAACCGAGGGCGAACGCCTTAACTTGCTCACCAAAGTGCAGCAGAATTAGTTCACAGCAGGCGGAGAAATCGCTTAATTTATATGTGTTATGCGTCAAATTGTGTTAATCGTATTTATATGTTGTTGCTGACCCTTGGATTAAGTACACATTGCTATATTTTCTTATTAAGACAGATTTAAGCTGAAATGAACAATCTAATGTTAAAAAAAATGGAGTATCAGCTGAATTTATATTTCGAAAAAAGAATAACATATTTAATTTACCAAAACTAATATTGCTTTTCAAATCTAAGTCGAAAAAATGCTAATAATTAAAACAATGATGTACAAATCAAAGCTATAAACACTAAAAACAAGTGATAATTTATTTTTTTAAAAATACAATCCAAATTTGATGCGGAAAAATGAAAGCATTTACCTAGCTTTAAAGTTGGAAGTCGCCAACTGGGAGCGAGTTCGGATGATCATAAGGCCACCTCGTCGTGACGGAGCTTGTGCTGCAGTGGAATGTCGGGCTTGTAGGCATCCTGTTGGAAGACACCCACATGATCAGAGTCTACATCAGGTGAGCTCCTTCATACTCACCATGGGCTTTTCGGAGCCAAAGGCAAAGAACTTTCTTATGCAGGGAGTGAGCAGCACTGGATCCACTTTGTTGGGATTATTTTTGCCAAAGACCAGGGTGGCGAGCAGCGCTACGATAATGGTGATGGAGGCTCCAAAGGTGGTGTACCACATATAGGAGATCCGGTAAAGCGGAAAGACGTCCCTGCGGTTTTCAGGGACCATAAAAATTGATTTATTTATTTATCGAAGGCATTAACTTCTCTTACTGTGCAGTTGCCATTAGGTGAGTTGTGTTGGCCAGACTGGTGGTCGTGTTAAAGCTGTAATCGCATTGCTCCACATTCAGCGGTTTCGTATGGTAACTAATGGCTCCGGAGGCGATGGCCCACTGGGCATTAAGACTCACCCACGACATGGCTATCACACCCATAACTCCGCCAAGCAAAGCGCTCTGAAAAAATTACATAAAATATTATTTTAACGAGATCGGAAGCATTAATAAACTAGCAGTCAAGGAATGGAGTCGATATGATATAAAACCATATATATGTATATAAAATCGAGATATAATAAATAATTCTTCGAAAACAAACAAATTTATCAAATTTTAATCAAATCTCACAAAAAAAAATGATCTGCGTACACATAAAAAAATACTATTGCGAATTTTTCAAATCTCTAGCTCTTAAACTTAATTTTTTCTTTATTTACTGTTTTGCAAACTTTTTTTAAAAACGGTTTTAATTGCATAATTATTTCATGCTTGAAGGTAGAATTTATATTTTATTTATTTATTTTTAATCTACAATTTAGGTAGACTTAGTCAAACTCATTATTTGAGCAAACACAATTTTGAAACTGTTTTTAAAATTTTAATAAATTATCTTTGTAAGAAATATATATTATTAATTTTATATATACTCACATTTCCATTGATCCAGGGTAAAAAAAGACCAATAGTGAAGATGCCAAATAGCGGACCGTTCGTGATCGCCTCAAGGCTCATAGTCAACTGGAGGACAGTACCCATATGCTCCACCACGTAGACGAGGCACACACAGAGGGCGCCCACTCCCACGACTACCAGGCGCATGATCCAATTGGTGGCCGAGCTGGAGAGCGGCTGCTTCACGTACGGCTTCACGAAATCCTCCAGCACCACGGCGGACATGGAGTTGAGGCAGGTGGACAGGGAGCTCAGGGCGGCACTGAAGACACCGGCGATGAAGAGTCCGGTCATGCCGGGTAGTTCGCCCAGGGTCTCCATCACAAAGAGCGGCAGGAGTTGATCTCGAGCCTTTGCCAGCTGGAATCGGATCGAAATCGATGTCAAATAAATTGCAATCTTGAAATCTAGGGCACTAAATCCACCTTGGTCGTGAGGGGATCACAGTTTTGGTAGGTGGCATAGATGAGCAGGCCGTTGTAGCCGCAGAGCGCCATTAGGATGAGCACACCGGCGCAGAAGATGCAGAGCGCTTTCCGGGCATCACCCAGGGTCGGAAGCGACAGATACCGCTGGATCATGTTCTGGGAAACTGCGTTGGTCTGCGTCCAGTAGACAATCCCTCCAAAGAACAGACACCAAAAAGTATGGCGCACTGTGGGGTCGAGGCTGAGACTGCAACCCAGAGTATTGTATTAAATGTAATATATTTTGTAATAATAATATATGTACTTACTCTGGCACTTCCAGGCGATCCGAGTTCCAAGCCCGCTCCAGGACCACACCGGGTCCTCCAATGTCCCGGGTACCCTTGATGGCCACAAGGCAAAGTGCCCCCAGCATGGACACCGCCTGCACCACATCTGTCCAGACCACCGCCTTAAGGCCACCAAGGCTCGTGTAGAAGACGCAAATGATGCACACGATCGGAGTGATCGTATGGACCCCGATCCCCGTCACCTGGTTGAAGGCTAGCGCCGGTACATAGATCACGATGGGCAGATAGGCCACCTATGGGATTTATTTTATCCATAAAAAAGTAAGTCTAATTATTTTTGTTATCAAACATTTTTGATACATTTTTCAAAACTTTAAAACTATTGAACTATTTAAAAAATATAATAAGAAAATTACTCCAAATATCATTACAAAGTACTTATTAATAGCTCTTAAATTTGTTTAATTTTTAGTTTATATATTAGTGCTCTTCCATGTGAAACGTGCCGCCATTTTTAAATAATTACAAAAATTATATATAATCCGTTAATGTTTTTTAATTTTGCTCGGTATATTTTTTTATCGATTTAAAGCTTTAAGCAGCTCCTTTGTTTGAAGCTGCTCTTCTTTTAAATTTATATATATATTTTTTAAAATTTATATTTAGATTTTCTTTACTCTCTATTAACTTTTATTGCAAAGCTGGATGTCGTGGTTGGTTATAATATAACACAATGTTTTTATTAAGTTTCACTCCACCTGCACTAATTGAATAGTAAACCCGACTAGCAAGGAAGTTATCTTATATTTATACATTCATTTACAAATGGCTAAAACCAATAAAAAATCATGAAAACTTAACTGTTCAAGTCTTACGATAATAATTTGAATAAGCAATTATTTTATCCATGATTTTGCGTATTTATGAAAAATGGGCCAAGTGAATAATTGGAGGTTGTTGACTAATGTACTCACATTCATAACGGCAAACATAATGGATCCGTAGAGACGTAACCTCCGGTCAAAGCGTACCTCCAGATACTGTCGAACATCCAAAGAGAAATGAGATAAATCCACTGAATTTCATCCCAAGGGACAAGCTCACCTCGTAGGTGGAGGTGATGTTCAGGTCGTGGAAGACAGGCAGGTAGAACACGCCCATCACCACGCCCATTCCGATGACTCCGCAGGCCACGTACAGGTACTGGACCCCATAGGAGTACACCTCCGTGGGAAGGCCGAGCAGCGTGATGCCGGACACGAAGCTGGCCACCAGGGAGAAGGCGATGGGTATGACCAGCATCTTGCGCCCGCCCAGCATGTAGTCATCCTCGGACACGGACTTCTTCATGAACCCAAAGTATATTCCGATCCCGATGCAGAGCAGGAACATCGAGACGAAGGCCACATAGTCCGGCCAGGCGAAGCGCTGCAGTTCGCCCAGAATCTCCTCGATGCTCGACATGGCGGTGACTAACTACGTTGGATGGTTGGCTGGGATATGTCCGACTCTCGGGTCCGTCGGTGGCTCACTGAGCCACTGAGTCCATGTGCTGCCCAGATTTGGGTGCCTCTGCTTAGGCGGCTGTGATTCAATTCAATTCCGCTCAATTATCAATTGTGGGGTAATTTAGTTTTGGCGGGGCAACGGGGCGCATGGACTATCTTTAGTTAAGCCGGCGGGCGGGGGAATTACGACACCTCCGTCTCCAGTTCCGGGTACGTCCCATTGATCATCGCTCCTCAACGATTCGCACTAGGATCGGCACGGATGCACCTTCTAGTCAATTATGTCACCCTGCACGCAAACTGATCTTCCCGAAAATGAGTCAAGAACCCGGAGATGCGACTTAATCTCGGCACCAATCACAGCCGAATCCCGGAGGTCGCACTGCGGATCGGCATTTCCTAACGCCGGAGTCCAAATGTAACGCCCAATTGGCACTCTGGGAATTTTTACTGATGCGGATTGTAGTTGCACAAGATCTGAGTGGGAGCCATGCGCCGCCAGAAGCTTACTACGTGTATAGTCATTCACAGAACCACCTGGCAGAGAGCCAGGAGAACTGCAGCGGGGGCAGGGGGGATTCAAGTGCAAGATCACCGGCGAATCGGCGGGAGCAATCATTATAGCACTCAAAAAAAATATTGTAAAGGTTTTTAAACAATTTTATTTCTTAACATCTTTACATCAACTTACAAATATAAAGGAAGAACGAATACACAAACATACAACGTTTATCATAAACAAATTTTAAATGTATTGATCTTTCAGGCAACATTTTAATATAATGAAACGTTAGTAATCACAATCAGTTTTAAAACATCAACGAAAAAAATGAAACACAGTCAACATATAAACAGTTTTTATTTTAAGCACAACGTTTTCACAAACGAATTTTAAATGTATAGATCTTCTAAAGCAACATTTTAAATTAATTGAACTTTTGTTATCACAATTTAAAAAAAAGGGCAATTATCAATGATTGAAAAACAACAGTATTTTTTTAAGTGTCTTAACCATTTATATTAGAAATTTTTATGATTTTCCATTTAAAATGTTTTAAAATACAATTAATTTTAAGGGATAAGTAGTGTTCAGTGTGGCTGTCCCTCAACTTGAACGCATTTGTAACAATCTCTCAGAGAATTTGGTTCAATGCGAATCACCGGCCTGCAGTTCGCTCTTCAGTATCCAAGAGGCGGCCCTCAGCGCAATAGCGACAACCACCGAGTTGGGATTCCCCGAGATGGAACGGGGCAGGACTTGGAGAAAATATTCCAAAAATATATATATTACGTTCTATACAAGGCATTTTCAGGGAATTTATTTGACTCGAAACCATAGTGAAGTTATCTTTTCTTTTTACGAGAAAATCTTGTAACAAATAAACACGTAAAACATATTAAAAAAAATTATAGCAATATTTCTGTAACTGAAGGCTTTGCCACGAAAATACTTTTATTAATAGTTTTATAAATAAAAGTCTTATATAGTATGTTTCATACATGAAAAATACAAATTCCAAAAAATGTATATATAAGTAAGTGTTATTTTTATTAAGTTTTATTTTAGATCTTTTGACAAAAAACTCGAAAATAACTTTTATTTCAGACTTTGATAAAGAAAATATCAAAATAAATATTTTTTTTTTTAATTTTTAAATTACTAATAATTTATTTTTCAGGTTTTTAGTCCGATTTTACAAGTTTACAAATACTTGTAAAATCGCACTAAATGTATGTATATGAAATTCTTTGATTTCAATAACTCTAGTTTCTATACTTACCGCTGGCATCCACCACACGGACATTGGAAACGCCTTTTAATCTACGGATGTCACTTCATTAACTTTGGTTTAAGTTTAGTTGAAGAGAAATTTCTACCTCAATTGCGCATCCACGACGCTGCCCAGGGCACATGTCCCTCCTGGATGGTGCGATCCGAGGCCAATGTGTCGCATCAGGCACTCCAGATAGTGATCCGAAGGTCGGTGCTCAAAGAAGTCCCGCTCGAAAGGACCGAAGTTGGAGCACTCCTGTAAACGTGGCCAATGAATTCGGGGCTGCAGTGGAGCAAAGGCGGAGGAAGTGACTAGCTGAAATTAAAGAGATATATAAATATATATAAAATAATAAATTGTTTAATTTTCAAACCGCCACTGCATTTCGAATGGCTGCAATGGTGCAGTCCACATCCTCCTCGTTGCTGAGGTAGTTCGGGTTTATCAGGGGATTCCTTCTCATGTGGCGGTTAAGGAGGCCCACGGATCCTCGTGACCTTGGCTGCAGGCAGCTGGATATGACCACAAACCCCTCCTGGGAGGCGTTATAGTAGCGTGGAAAGAGAGCTCGGAAAGCTGGGCCCTTAAAATTCGATATGGACATCAGCGAAGATTCGTCGATGGCACCGGCTCCAAAGAAGGTGATGCCGAAGGCTGATCCTCCGTAGCTGGCCACGTGGCCCAGCACTCCAAAGTTTCCCAAGGGTCCGGTTCCGGAGCTGAGGAAGTTGATCAGCGTCATGGGATTCAAGAGTGTGTTCTGGTTTAGTGTGGGTCCAGTAACGCCCATCGAAACGAATAGTGGAAGATTAAAGTGGTCGTGCAGGTTGTGTCCCACCAACGGCAAACTATGCTGCACGGGAATCCCAATTTTGGCCAAGGCGGATGTGTCTCCGATTCCCGAGGCCATGAGGAGCTGAGGGGTTTGGTAGGCTCCAGCGCAGAGTATTAGTTCTCTCCTTATTTTAATGCTGAACTCCTGCTCCCTGCTCTCCTCATCCTTAATCCCCACCAGAATGGAGGTGGCATGGAGGTTTGGGCTGGAGGAAAGTTGAATCCGCTTAACCAAAGCTTCGGGCAGCAGTCGAAGATTGGTCCGATGAAGCACCGGGCTTAGGAACTGCTGCACCACCGAATATCTTAGGCCATTCTTAATGTTATACATAGATCGCCGAAAGATCCAATCCTTGTGGGCAAACTGCGCCTGTGCCTCGTCCAGTGCTTCAGTGAGTTTAGAGTACCGTTGCGGGATTTCGAACATCTCCGCTGGCTTGGGCTTAGCAGCTGCCATAAAGGATCTCATGTGCTCCCAGCTCCAATCGCTCAGATTGTGGAGATCCCGCCAGGAATCGAAGTCCGGTCCATGACCATCAAAGTGCAGCATGTAGTTAAGATTGGCGGAACCACCTAGACCCTTGCCCCTTGGGAGGCACTGCCTCCGTTCAATCAGGCCTTTGGAGGAGTGTTTCTGGGGAACGGACAGGAAGGACCAGTCGTTGATGCCCTTCTGCTGAAAGGTGGTGAGCAGAGGGATTCGGCTAAGCAGCCCGAATTGGCCACCAGCCTCGATGAGCAGAACACTGCCATTGCTGTGCTTGGCCAACAGGGAAGTGAGTGTGCTGCCTCCAGTTCCAGCTCCAACTGGTCATAGAACAAAGGAAGGTATTGTCTTAGTGCTTAGAATGTGAGTAGAATTTAAGCCTGGTTTATACAGCTACATTGTTTCAGAACATTAATATTTTGTTTCCTACTACCAATTAGTTTTATTTCAGCTAAAAGTTGGCCATAGATACATCTCATACCCCACCTACCACTTACCAATCACATAGTCGAATGCAAATTGACGCTCCTCGGGTGCCAGAACATTGGGAATGGAGGTCTTGAGCAGAGTGCCCGTCAGGATTACCATGACAGACAAGAATCCCATGATAATCCCACCCAACACCAAGATCTCTGCAAAAGACAGACCCTCAACAAGTATTTGTTTATACTACTTTTAGAGCTTACTTTGGATTTGCAGACCCATGCTGTTCTGTGCAATGACGAAATCTAACTAGTTCGAAAGCGAGAACAACTTGGTCTAATCCAATTAAAGCCCTCGAGGGGTGAAACTGGGCGCCAAATTTAAATTCAACTGAAAAGCAAATCGGCTAGAGATGAGCTTGTGCAAAACGATATGTTTCAAGTGATGCGGCATCTTTATTACACAGGTAAAAAAAACGCTAAAATATGACTTTAATTGTTTTATACCGAAGAGTGAGAACACATTGGATATGGAAAATCTTTAAGGCTCAACCGTTTTTTTGATTTGGCATCAGCATGGGGCTTTTAATAAAATAAATGCTCAAAAGGTAAAAGATAAGTACCCAAAAACCACCTGTTAACTCTCTGTGCAGGACAAATAGCTTTTCTAGCTTTTTCCCGCCAAACCTGGCTAACTGCACTTCGATTATTTTTTGTTATCGATTGACAGTCATCACTGGCAGCCGTAAGCCAGCTAAATTCTTTGTTATTGCATTCACTTGTGCCACCGAAGATCGACTCTAGGCTGTCCGAAAATAATATGTGGGCGGCTGTTATCACTCGACAGTGGAAGTCTGACGCCAGAACAGCTGCTAGTCAAGCGAGAACAAAAGGCGAGCTGCAACAATAGCCCAGATCCAGATAATCAGCAGTGGAAGATCACCCAGTGAGCCCCATTCAGAAGTCAGCAGAGCGAACAATGAACTAGCCCCCATACTCCGATCACAGAACCGAAGAACGTTGGACTCCCTAGGAGCAGCAGGTGTCCCACAATGGGTGACCAGCAGGAGCATAATCTGAGCGAACTCCTGGACCTACTGCCCAAGGTTCAGCGGCAGGTCTTCGAGGTTGGTTTCGGGATCTAGTTCAGTTGCCATCACCTAATTACGTACTTTATTTAAAGACCTTTATCCAGTGGCTCCATGGCAAGGCCACAGGACCCATTCAATCCCACCAGAATGCCCTGCAATCCCTGCTCCAGGCATCCCCCTATCCCTCCCTGCAGCTGCTGCAGTTACTCCACGAGCGCTCCAAGCTGCACATTGGCCAAATGATTGCCACCTTGCTGCGACAGCTGTTAGACGACGATGTCTCATCGCCGCGTTCCCTTTGTGTGCTGGCCAACTTTCCCGCGAGCATTTTGGAGGCGGCCACGCTGCGGCAGAAACTGATGACTCGACTGGCGGGTGATTCAGTCACCAGCGAGCACTTAATGCTGGCCATCCTGGCGCGCAGCGAGGGACAGCTCCTGGAGGATCTGCTGCAGGAACAGCAGCTGGCCCTGCGGACGCAGTGCAGCGAGGCGGCGCCCACCAGGCAGTTGGTCTTGTGGTTGGCCCTCGGCCAGCGGGAGCACTTTGTGGCCAGTGTGTGCCATCAGCTGAAGGACTTTCAGTGCTTCCAGGATCCCGCACTGAGGAACAACTTGCTAATCCTTCGCCTGGCCAATGAGTTTGCTCTAGGCACCCAGACATTGGATGAGCTAGGCTGCCTGGACAAATACCTAGGCGAATTTGATGTTGGCGCTGTGCCGGAGGAGTTGCAGGAAGTTCATCAGTTCTTCTACGCGGACTTTCAGCGGCTGTCCACTCTTCTCAACTTCTTGCGACCGCGGGAGGTGACCAAAACGCTTAAAGTGGAAGCTCTTTTGCGATCGCCCGGTGTGCTTTCCCTAATCCACGAGAATGGAATCCAATGCGAGCACCACGAATTGCTGCTCCTGCTCGAGGACACCTTCAAATGGCAGCAGCAGACCCCGGCGCTGAAGTGCCATTACCAGCAGGAGGTAGAGATTCTGAGCTACTACACTGCCCTTTGCCATGTGTACAACGTTGTCCTGGATCAGGGCGAACAGACGACCAAGGCCAAGCTGGTGCAGCTTTCCGGCCAGTTGAGGCAACTGCATCAGTTGGGCACCTTGTGCTCCCTGTTGGAAGACATCTTCCTGCTCGTTTTCCTTCGCTGGGAGCAGCTGGAGCAGAGCCCGCAAAAGAGGAGGGAAGAGGACGAGGACGACGAGGATGATGACGACGAGCAGTACGTCGACGATGACGTTGCCTCGCCACCGCGTCCAGCTGCAGTTCACAACCAGCGCACTCGGTACGGATTCATCTGCCGCTCGCCCTCGCTGCAGGCACTCTTCACCTTTCTGAAGGCCTTCGTCACCAAGAAGCTGCACTCGCAGGACTACAAGTGCGCCACGGAGCACCAGCAGAGGTTCCAGCGCCTGGTGGATGCCATTAGCGAGGCCCTGTGGAAGCTGGGTGTGCTGCACAAGATAGAACAGTCGCTGACCAAGTCGGCGCCGTCGATCAACTGCCTCCTGGAGCCGGAACAGCTGCTCCAGCTGGTCCAACTGCATAGCACGGCCAAGGAGAAGGCCTCCAGCGACGACGAGAGTCGCGAGCGCAGCAACCACGCCTCCAGTCTCAACCGGAGAAAGGCCCGCAAGCAGCGACGCGCGGTTAGTTTCAGTGGAGCAGTGGCTCCCAAATCCACCACCGATGGAGGACTCACTCTGGACCAGTACCGGGCAAGGGTGCATCTGCTCAGTGGCCGTGACAGCAGACAGAGTTCTTGCGCCACTGCTTCATGTGAGCGCTCTATAATCCCCAAGATGCTCAGCACGCCGGAGCAACTGGCCATCATGGCACTGGCCCTTAAGAACTTCAACGATGTCAAGCAGATCATCGAGGTGAGTGGCTAAATAACCTGCGATAGCGGTCCATTTTGATGGCCATATTTCGGTTTTTTCTTTCACCACTGTTCTTATTCATTATGATTCATAATTAAATGTACTTATACTTAGTATCAGCGTCATCATTCGCAAGTAATAACAATTGAATAACATTTAGCTATAGCTGCATGAAAATGATAACAGTGACCTGAAAATATACTAAGAAATATTTTTAATAACTTAAGCATTGAAAAGAAACAACTTTAAAATGTATGTTGTCTTTATCGTTCATGCTCTGCAGACTTTCCACCTGGAGAAGAGTCAGCTAAACCGTGAGCTGCAGTTCATGGAGCAGCAGCAACTGGTCAAGCTAAAACTATCCACTATTTACGCCAACTATCGGGCGTTAGAGGCGCAGCAGGCCAACTCTGGGGAGACCACGGTGGAGCAGATTAAAGGCGTGGCGGCCAAGGGCTTTGAGCTGTCCAAGATCATCAGCGTGGTGGACAACTTTGCACAGGCCCAACGTCTGCAGCAAAGCTCAGAGCTGAAGGGACTCATCCTGCGGCACAGTGCCAACGGCCAACAGGGATTCCTGCAGCAGTTCGAGGAGCGCAATCTAAACGCCCTAATTATATGCGACCTGATTGTGAACCTGGGCTTCAACCGGGAGATAACCAGCAATCTGTTACTGGTCATTCGGCGCCAGCAACAGCAGAAGATGGCCAGCGATGAGTCGTCATCCTCGCCGGGCTCCTCCGACATTGGCGCCATGAATCTCCTGCAGAATCTCTGCGAGTGCATGCGTCTGCTGGAGCGATCTGGCCTGCAGCCGGCCCTGAACGAGCTTCTCTCCCTGAAGAGCTATCCACTCAGACCGTCGGTCCTGGCTTTGCAGCTCCAGCGGGAGGCCGCATTTCAAACGATCTATGGAAAGGAACCTTCCCAGTACTCGCATGGGCAGGAGCTCCGTTCTAACGCCGGGCAATTTCAGCAGCTGCGCTCGCGGCACAACTACTATGCCCGTTTCTGCACCTATGTGCAACAGCTGGCGCGGCTCCTGCAGCTTAGAGACCCCAACCTGGAGTACCACACCACCCAGCTGCTTCGCAACGATCCGTACGAAGTCATCGGGGAGCTGATCTACGATTGCGGCATTACACCGCTGGAGATCGAGGCGAGTGTGGCGGCTCTCCACCTTAATCTCGTCCATGTGATTGCTCTCAACATCTGCCCCCAGTTGGGCGAAGAGCCCTCAAAGAGATTGCCCCGCGTGGTGGCTCCTCAGAAGCAGGAATCTATACACAACTACATAGCGCAACACAACCAGCTTCTGGCTCAAATACTGCAAGCCATTCAGCTCGGAAACCTGCCGGATGGCGAGACGAGATTGGACTTCTCTTGTCTGGGCCAGCTGGTGCACCTGCCGGAGGTGGAGGTTCTGGCCTCAATGCACAACGGGAATAGGGTCTTGGCTGCCTTGAACGCCTACAAGCTGGACAGTGCCAGCCTGGAGCAGTTGGTGCCGGATCGGGAGCAACTGCTGCAGATCCTTCTTCTTGGAATTGGTGGTCAATCATGTGAGGGAATGCCAAAGTATATCTATCCACTTTATATTTACAAATGCTCTCTCTCCCCCTAGATTCTCCAAAGCAACTAAACTCGCTGGTTGACCAACTGATTGGGGATCTTATTGAGAAGGATCCGCGTAACATCCAGCTTGTGGTGCACATGAGCAATCTCGGACTGCGTGCTCGCCTGCTGAAGGAGCACTTCACCCGCATTCCCAGCAGTCAGCAGGCCAAGGAGCTGATTGAACGCACTCTGCAGCACCGCCGTGCAGCCAAGTCGATCCCGCCGTTCCTGCGCTCCGAACTGGAGCATACGCTGTCGGACATAACCATATACGCACGGGTGTCGGCTCTGCTCCAGTTCGAGAGCTGGCCGCAGGCCTACGACTTCGGCCGCCAGACCCCGAACGTGATCTTCGAGCAGCTGCTGCAACGGCGGCGATTCGGCTTGTGCCTGGAGTGGAGCCGTGTGGTCTTCCTGACGGGATCAGCGGGTCAGCAGCGGGTGTGCCTGCTCACCCTACTGGATGCCCTTCTGGAGCTGCGGGATGGCGAGGAGCTGGACGAGTCCCTGCTGGGCATTGTGGAGATGTTTCCACCCATCTCGCTGGTTAATTTCCTGGACACGCACAAGGACAAGTTCAGGTCGCTGCCGCTGCTGCAGTGGGTTATCAATTACCTGGAGGGTCACGCCCGCGATCCGCGTCTGTACAGGAACTATCAACTCTCGCTGGAGCTGCTGCGGCAAATGGATGTCAATGAGCGGTCACAGTTCTGGAAACTCCTCCGGCATCCACTGCTGATCGTAGAGCAGCTGGTGATGAACGCCCGCTTCGAGTTGCTGGGAAAGCTGCTGGATGCGGCTCGCTGCAAGTTGCAAAAGGAAAAGCCCGTGGGCCCTTGTCCCTACTGCTTCGAAAAAACAGGACATGTCTACGATGTGCAGTCCAGTTCAGGTTCGGGCAGTGGAGCAGGCGGAACGCCTGGCAAAGTGCGCTTTCAACTGGGGCAAACCACATCGGAAGCTTTTATTCTGCTCAACTTCAACTCCTACCAGCAGGATCACTTTGTGGGCCAGGAGTGCTTGGACCTGCTAATGCGAATTTATGCCAGCAAGGCTCTGGACTACCACGTGGCCAATGTGCGGGCTGCCTCCGAGCCGAGCTCCCTGGGCACCGATGTGCAGAATTCACTGGACTCCCTCTGCGGCGCCTTCGTGATGCCGAAGCAGGCACCCAACCGGCAGCAGTGGACGCGCGACGAGGAGGCCAGTCACTGCATGTGCTGCCGGCGGGCTGCCTTCACCATGCTGATGCGACGCCACCATTGCCGCCGATGTGGGCGGGTGGTGTGCTATGCCTGCTCCACCCATCGGCTAAAAATCCCGGAGCTTTACGACGAGCTGGAGGTGCGCATCTGCAACGATTGTGCCGCCAGCTTGGCCACCAGGGACCAAGGAGATGGGGCTTCAAGCGAGCGGGGTGCTGTCTCAACCTCGGGATCAAGGTCTTCGGGACAGGGCGAGTCCTGCAAGTGGCGCCTGAGCGGTATCATAACCCACGACAAGCTGCTGCGCGAGGAGTTCTCCTATGAGCACGCCCCCAGTGTGGCGCTCAGCTTGTCCATCCTACGTAACCATGTGGAGCAGCGGAGCTGCGTGGACCTGCTGCTTTTCCACTGCCGCAAACTGGAGAAGCTGATTGTGCCCAATCCAGAGGTGGACTACGGACTGGTGGCCAAGATGATTAACTGTCTAGCCTTTGCCGCAAAGGTGTGGTAACATTTTAGAAACTAAACTAAAAAACTAAAATTTATAACATATCCTACTTGTTTCCAGGTGCGTGGTGCCCCGGGAGAGTTTGAAAACATTCGCGAACACTCTGAGATCATCATGGCGGTGGTGCAGCAGGGCTGCGAGTCGCTAATCCCAACTGGACCACTCAACAACCACAATCTGCGCAAGTTGGCGGATGCTTTGGTGGAGGCGGAGCATTGGACGCTGGCCCTGGAAGTGCATCTGAAGTGTGGATTTGCCACCACGGGAGTGATGGCGGCCCACGGACTGGCCTGCCTCCGTGCCGGCTGCTACGATGCAGGTGATCCCCATCCCGTTTTGATCTTCAAGACCCTTAGTTCATTCGTATCCCTTTCAGCCCGCGAGAAGTTTGCCCACTGCATGACTCGCCTTTCCAGTGAGCAGCTCAATAGCAGCATCTGCAAGAGCATGTTCGGAATCGCCTCCCCGGAGGCTGTGCTCCTGCCCAGGAAGCGGCCACAGCGCGGCCCAGCACTACTCCAGGAAATCCTGCAGCTGATAGAGGCGCTGCCGCAGGCACAGCCTCAGCCGGAGACTCTTCACCGCGCCTCGCTCATTCGCAGCTCGAACACCTCGCTGGCCTCGCTTTTCTCGCGGCGTCGAGAGCCCTACGTCCAGCAACGTCCACTTCGAGAGCCGGCTCTGAACGTGATGAACGCACTCGCGGGGCTCAAGAACATAGCCAAGGGTCACTATGGCGGCCAGATTGCTGCCAGCGAGGAGAGTAGGCGGCAGGAACGCGGCTTCGAGGAGTCGCTGCACTATGTGCTCACCTACGGCAGCCATGGCGACATCCTGACCTTCCTGATGCGACGTGACGAGTTGCGGGCAGCACTCCGCTACTGGCAGCATCAGCAATTGGACGCCGATCTCTTCATCCAGCACATCTTCCAGCCCCAACTGGCCAACGGCGGTCTGCCCGCTTTGGTGGGTGAACTGCAAAAGCTGGACGACGCTCAACTGTGTGCCTGGCGCCTGCCGCTGCTGCAGACTTGCCGCCACTTGGAGCAGCACCAGCAGCTCAGCTCTCTGTATCAGCTGCAGCTCCTGCTAAAGGATCCCATCCGGGCCAGCATGACGTGCGTCAAGTTCTATCCCCTGCAGTGCGAGAACTTCCAGAAGCTGCAGGCCAATGCCCAGCACCTGATCTCGGCCCACATGCACCTGCAGGGGGAGCTGGATCTGGCCGAGTGGGAGCACCTGCAGCGGCAGCAAGCTCGAAGGGGCAGTGTGGCCAGTGGAGCCAGTGTGCGAGGTGCCTGCTTTGCCATGCAGATGGATGCCAGGGCCCTCAATGGGCACATCAACACCATCCGGCGGCAGTTGGAGGTGGCCAAGTTCTTGGCCCAATGCGAACAAGAACAGACCCCGAATAAGGCCCTTAAAACTATACAAACTTTGAAGCAGGTAAGAAAGTTAATCGAGCTCACACGTAATTTTAATATGATTAAATTGTACCCTTTTAGATTCGACTGGAGTCTAGTCGTGGTACTCTGCCAACTCTTTTTGAAGGCGCCACAGATCGCATTCAGCTGTGCATCCTGATACTCATGTGCGGCAAGAACATCGATGAAGGATTCGGCCTGGCGTACGGGTAAGAAAGATATAAAACGGGGAGGTTTCACCAAGACACCAAGAACTTCCCTGTTTATTTATAAGTATATTCCCGATTTGAATTTGATTTGTGTGTGTTCATTTCATACAGAATTATGCAGGACTATAAGCTCCCTGCAGTGAAGGTGTTTGGGGCCACGGCCAAGTACCTGGCCCGGAATCAGCGCCTGGGCGAAGTGGAGCGCTTGCTGGACTGCATTGCCAGCAACAATGGCGGTGGCATTGTGGCTGAGTCCGACGAGATCCTCTCGATCGCCATCAACGCAGCGGTGCACAGCAGCGCTCCGGAGACCAAGCAGATGCTGGACCGGCTTATCAAGCGCATCAGCAGCGTGGAGCTGCGGATTTCCTCCTACATCTACATCGGGCAGCTCAAGTCCGCCTATCTGCTGGCCAACAAGCATGAGCGACTGGCGGACATCCGGAAAATCCTGCGGCAGGCGGAGCTTACCGGCCAGGTTCACATCAAGAAGCTGTGCGAGATGAAGCTCCAGCTTAGCGCACCGCCAACGCCTCTGTGATATCGTAACCCCTCGGGCAACAACAATTCATTAATATACCTATTGTTTAGAGGTTTCACTAGCTATGGGAAATACTAAAATTATTTATATTTTAAATTTTGTATCTCCCAGGAATCCCAATCCATTCGCCAAAAAGATACCATATCTAAACATAGTCAAGCTCAATTAATTGGGAAATCAATTTTCTTTTGAGATACAAAATTAGAAATGATCATCTTAGTAGTTCTGACTAGTGATAGCCCTAACAATTTGTCATCTGGGCTAGTATAGGGAATTTTTATAGAATTTAACATTTACATAGATCAATTTTAATCTTTCCAAAGGGCCAGCAAGTATTTCACCCTTGAGCTCAAAAAGACTTTCCCCACAAGTAACCAAATTATATTATTGATTGTACTGTATTATCTCAATGTTATTTTATAGGAATTATACTGTTATATGTTTATTCAAATTTATGGCGCCCTTGTTTGAATTTCTTTGATGCTTTTAACACTGCTGGTGACGAATTTTACAGCACTGCTTGGAATGAGACAACTCTAATAGAACTGAGTGGTAAACATATAGAAATATAAAGCAATGCGGGCGGTTATACAAAGGGTTAAGGCCGCCAAAGTGACGGGTAAGCCAGGATCAATTAATGGCAATCATTTATCTAGCTTTGCAGTGCTGTTTTAGTGGTGGATGAGCTGGTGTCCTCCATTGGTCCGGGTCTGTGCGTGCTGGTGGGGATTAAGGCCAGCGATACCGCCAAAGATGTTGAGTATCTGTAGGTAATTCTCTTTCAAATAAAAACCAGCCATACTATTGACTGAGCACTCTAATTACTATTTTAGAGTCCGCAAGATCTTGGCCTTGCGTTTATTCGAGGAGGAGGGCAAACGGTGGCAAAAGTCTGTCAAGGATCTGAATCTGGAGCTGCTCTGCGTGTCCCAGTTTACATTGTACCACCGGCTCAAGGGCAACAAGCCGGATTTTTCGGCGGCCATGAAGGGTGAGGAAGCCCAGCAGCTGTACAATCACTTCCTGGATCGCTTGGGGCAATCCTACGACAGCAGCAAGATTAAAGGTGGGTCATATTCTGGATATCTCCCGGCGGTCATAAGTAAACGCAATCCTCCCAACAGATGGCAAATTCGGAGCCTATATGCAGGTGCACATAGAAAACGATGGACCTGTGACTATTAATCTGGAAACTCCAGATCAAAAGCAATCGGACGAGGGAGTGGACAAGTGATGATGAAATATACAAAGACTACATACGTTTATGTACCACGGGGTTTTTATTTAGTGTATTTTTTAGCAGCAACTTAAACCTATCAAAAATCAGCGTACTTGTCCTTAGGCTTCTAACATCTCTAGATCCTCGATTCCCATTCCCTCCTCGAGCTTCTTCTCGAGCTCGCGTGCATCCACGTAGGTGATCTTCTCCTCGGGCAGGTCCTCCTCCATAAGGGCAGCCTCCTCCGCCGCCTCCTTGGCGCGGCGCTCCTTGAGACCGGCGGCCGGGGAGCGGATGAGCGACATGTTGCGCTGCACATCCTTGACGTCCATCTGGATCTCGATCTCGCGACCCTTGCGCAGGCGGTCCATGACGAAGTGGGTGGTGCGCTTCTCCTTGATCTCCGTCACCCGCTTGATGGCCTCCAACGCCTTCTGCCAGGTCTCGCGGCTGTACTTGATGGGCACGTTGCGGCGCTTCTCGAACTCGAAGCTGGGATCGATGGCCAGCTCCTTGCCGGCGGCCTTGCGGTGCGCCTTCGTCCAGCCGACCTTGCGGGGATTCTTCTTCCGCTTGAAGGCCTTGTGGCACTTGCCCCGACAGAATTTGAAGATCTGTGGTGAAAATAAATGGACCAAAATAAACATCGGAGCACATGTAAACAGGATAGCCAATCGATCCTACCTTGCAGTCATTTCGCACGAAATTCACCCCGTGGCCAGGGTATATTTTGCTGGAGCAAAAATAACACGTTTCAATGCGCATTTTCGCAAATTACGACGAATAATTTGCGAAAAAAACAAAGCGCAAGCAGCTAGCACGTGTGCTGCTGAAGAAGAAGAGAGATGAAAATATACCGATGGCGAGCAGTGTGACCAGGGTATGACCATTTATCGATTACATAAATTGACTATTAGCAAAAATTAAAAAATGGTTAAATAGCTATGTCGAAAGCAGCTATTTATATTCATTATATTGTAATGAATATTAACCATACATTTTTAACTCATTTTATTTCATTTAAATTAACCACCTTCATAAATTAATTTAAATGCAACGTTATCAATTTTTAAATATTATAAAAGGGCTACTCAGCTCCATAATAAATTTCAGTTCCCTCTAGTTCGAACTATGTGTTCTTCTTCCCTAAATTTGTAGTTAAAATGGTTCACCCTGTTTTCCGATTACTGCGACTGCCCCCACCCCCCGCCATCAGCTGTTGCGCCAGCTGCTCGCCCACGGCTGCGCTGGTCACACCGCCAGCATCCAAACAACAATCCGCAGCCCCAGAATCGGACACATCACCGAGACCGAGATCTTGCTGACGTGCGACCAGATGCAGAGCCCCGCCTTCGCGTACCGGGAACCCGCAGATCACTCGCCGCGCGCCATGTACATGCGCGACTGGAGGTCGGCCCTGCGGACGCCCACGTACCGGATTGGTAATCGGACGGTGCGCTTTAACTACCACTTCGCTCTGCTCATCGCCTGCGCCCTCGGCCTTGTCCTGCTCTTCTACTTTGCGCGCCAGGGCTCGCACTCCTCCTCCGACGGCTACTGGTTGCGCCGGAGCTTGGTGGACGCCCGGAGTCTGGACAGTGGCGCGGTGGCCCAGGTCTACAATGCCACATACCCGCTCACTCCGCCCATGGTGCTGCGTGGCGGGGTCATCAACTACCGGATAGCCATGATCGCCGACCTGGACACCAGCTCCAAGGTGACCAAGAGCGACGGCAGCTCCACATGGCGGAGCTACCTGAAGAAGGGCTACCTCACGTACACGGTGGCCAGGGCCGAGATCCAGATCAGCTGGGATGACGGAGCACCTACGGTCCTGGAATCTGCATTTGCCCTAAAGGGCCGCGGCATGGAGCTCTCCGAGTTGGTCACCTTTAACGGGCGGCTCCTCAGCTTCGACGATCGCACTGGATTGATTTACGAAATAGTTAACGACAAGCCCATTCCCTGGGTGATCCTGCTCGACGGCGACGGGCACAGTGCCAAGGGCTTCAAGTCCGAGTGGGCCACTGTGAAGCAGCACACTCTCTATGTCGGCTCCATGGGCAAGGAGTGGACGACGAGTGCGGGCGACTTCGAGAACAACAATCCCATGTACGTAAAGGCCATCTCGCCCTCTGGCGAGGTGCGATCACTCAACTGGGTGGACAACTTTAAGCAGCTGCGCCTGCAGTCCCAGCAGATTTCCTGGCCGGGCTACATGATTCATGAGAGCGGGACCTGGTCTGATGCAAAGCAGCGCTGGTTCTTCCTCCCCAGACGATGTTCCAAGGAGAAGTAGGTTCCCCTGTCATTGTTTAAGTCTTCCACTTATCTCTTATTTTCTGCAGATACAACGAAACCAAGGACGAGCACATGGGCTGCAATGTCTTGGTCTCCGCCGACGAAAGCTTCACCAACATCGAGACCGTGCGACTCGACCCCGAGAATACAACTCCCACACATGGCTTCTCTAGCTTTAAGTTCCTGCCCGGCACCGATGACTCCATCATAGTGGCCCTCAAGTCGGAGGAGCTGAATGGCAAGACGGCCACCTTCATCACAGCCTTCGACATCACGGGCAAGACGCTGCTGCCCGAGGTGCGGATCGAGACAGATTATAAGTACGAGGGATTCGAGTTCATTTAGCTCGGCACTCCGTGCCACTACACTCCACTCAAGTTCGATCCAGGTGCTCCAGTTTTGAGCGTGTACATACTGTATTAGTGTCCCATACTGTAAGCTTTATATTTATAGTCAGCTAGGTTAGTCTAGAGATGCTCATCTGCCTCGTGACCCGTGACTCCCTTGTCCTGTCTTGTACCATAGCGCAAATCAAATTTTAGTTTATTTTTATTGAAAATGAAATATATAACGTACAAAGCCGGCGGCAAACTCAGAAAGGCCTTGCATCATATGACTTTAACCTTCGCATCCAATCCGGCCACCAGAAGATCTGCTTCATCCACGCGTCCCTCGCTCGCCCGCACCTCCAGCCGGTCGGCGTTGTGGTTGACGTTCCAGAGTTCTGGCAGGAAGCGGGGCTGCATGGCGTGCAGGAAGTGCTCCCGCCACAGTCGCTCCAGCTCCACGAGGCCTCCGAACTTGTCGCGGTACTGTTGCACCACTCGCTCCCCGTGCTGGCAGTAACCGGAGTTCTCCACTCGGTATTCCGTGCTGGCAGCCTGTCGTAGAAGATCCTCCGTGACCTCCGTTTGGTCGGTGTAGAAGTCGAGGAGGGTTCGCTGCATTTCAGCCACCTTAGCAGCCGGTATCTTAGCGCCATGGTATAGCAGCGCCTTGCCCGCGGATTGAACACGTCTAGAAGTTGAAATTGAAGTAAATAAGTTTAATTTATGAATTAATTGGGTTTTAAATGAATAGCTTTGCATTCTTTTATATTTTACATTTCTTTGTCCTTCCTTAAAATTCAATTATCTTGCTTATCTTATCAGTGCCATTTGAAATGTTTCGGAAATTAAGTGAAACCATTATGACAATTGAAAAGCTATCAGTCTTTTCATATTTGGAAGGTAATTACATTATGTTGGCTCTAAATATATGATTTACATTTGCTTCAAGTTATTAAAGTTTATTCCTAACATTTACTGCTTCAAATTAAATAATTAAAAACATTTTCATAAATCCGTGAAACCTTACAAGAACCCTTTTCATCAAGGTAAGAAATAAGTAAAGATACATACTTCAGCTCCATATCATCGCGGTACTTGACGGATCCATCTCCATGCTTGAAAGGCGCTTCGCACTGGTCGGCCAGTTTGGTCCGCACCCGAAGATCGGAGATGTTACTCATCTGGTGGCAGTTGGGACAAAGGAGCAGCACGTCGTGGGAGGAATGAGACTTCATGACCATCGGAAAATGCTTTCTGTACTCCCGAGGCACTACGTTCTTCCGGATGTAGGCATCTCGATCGCCGCACACTACGCACTGGTTTTCCTTGGGCGTCTGGTAGTAGCGACCCACATCGCCCACCGCTCGACCCGCTGGTTCGAAATTAAGGCGAACGGTGAAAGGCTCCTCGGTGATTTGAGTGCCCAAGTTTTGAGTGAGGTACCAGGAGGCTTTTCGTCGGTCAATGGTGCACAGGAGTTCGCCATCGGGCGCCTGGAGGAGGCAGTTGTCGTAGAAGTCCTTAGATCGCGTGGCCATTTGCCGGAACGGTTGCTTCTTTGGCAGCCATTTCTTGCTTTTGGTTGGTCCACAACTCTTTGAGCGAGTGACTCCGCTTCCGGTCAGGCTGAGTGAGAAGCCCTTGGTGAAGTCCACGTCCAGAAAGGGTTCGAATTTGTTGCGCAGGCTATCATCGTTCAGTGACCGCCGTTGCCAGAAGTATTTGGGTTCCAGATCCCTGGCTAGCTTCTGGTAAATGGCCACCGCCACCAGGGCATCATTGGCAGCATAGTTTAGCTGTTTTGGCTCCAGCTCCTTGGCCTCCCAGTTGGAGCAGACCAGGCGCCAGTGCTTGTCCAGTTTATAGTTCAGGTGTGTCTGGGACAGCTTGCCCAGTCCCTCGGGCTTATGACCCGCCATAACGCACAGGAAGCGCAGGTCCAGAGTGCTGGCCACGCCCACTCCGTAGTCGTGGGATAGCTTCATAGCATCCTCCTGCGGTGCAACGCCCACCTTAATCACTGCATCGTCTTCGAGTAACTCCCGCAGGTCCTTGGGTATTTGCTTCATGTGGCAGAGGCGGAACAGGGCGCATAATCCCCGATGGGAACTGAGTTGAAGCAGTGCCACTGGTCGCCGGCTGCCTCCAACGGTTATCCATTCGCAATCGAATCCGAGGACTTTGAAAGTCTGGCAGTGGCTGGAATCGAGGTGGAATTGTAAACCTGTGACGGGCAACAAAATGTGGGCAATACTCACTTCTTTAGTTCATTCAAAACCCATTGCGTGGCAGGATCATGGACGGAGTTGACCACTTCTATGTGACGTCGGGGCAGCGGATTGCCAAAGGACCACACCTTTCGCAGGGGACCCAGCAGAGACTGCCTGTGCCTCACCAGAACGTAAACCAATCCCACTCCGGCAGCCAGCACAGCCCATCTCCTTGTGTTGACTTCCGTCATGGCACTGGGTTTCAAGTGCGGATGGAGCAGCTGCTGCGGCCGGATGGGTCACCAGGTTGAATCCTCTCCGTGCGATTCCAACTCGGAGCACTTGGCACTTGGTCTCCGGCTCACCGCTGAGATTTTGAGTTATCCTTGCTTCTTATTTTCCCAAAGTAACTGATTTTTGTTTACGTATTTTTGGTTCTAAATCCTTCACAAAAGATTCAACGAAATGGTGAAATAAACAGCTGATTAAAGGGTCTGCCAACTTAGTTTAAAATAAAACCGGTCAAAAAAACAATATCTGTAATTTGAAAGACAGGTGAATAAGGCGACAAAAATATGTGCAAAATATAGGACTACAATTGCATTTAACTATTTAATTGCCTTTTATCTGGCCTTGTTTTTATTTATTTTAATTGTTTTTTATATTTATACTATTAAGTAATTACTCGTTTTATAAAATAACATTACCGTTATTAATCTTACACCGTTTAAAAGGTGGCATCATTGGTGATTTGAGTTCGCGGGTGGCAGCTCTGGTCCTCATGCTTCTCCGAATCGCCGTTTGCAAAAAGTTTTAAAATGTTAAATTAAATGATTTCTTCGCGAGCTAACAATGAATAAAACTGTGTGAAACGGGCGGCGGGGAAACGATGTGCGAGTGAAAATCGCGGAAAAGTAGGTGGAAGACAGAGAAACCAAGCGTAAATAAGGGAAGGTAGCCGAAAAATCGATTTTTTTAATGCAGGTGAGACACCGTTAGACACCCCTCACACGCACACTCACACTAATGCAAATTCCTTACAGGATGCTGACATTTTAAAAGGATTCTGAAATTGTAGAGAAGAAACCCTTGAGATGCCGGAGAACCTGGAGCTGCAGCAGTTTCAGGAGGGCGCCCCGCCTCCAGATCCCGCCCCCCGTTGGCTGGAGCGCCTGCAGCACCGATTGGGAGCCAATTGTCCTTACTTGGGCATCCTCCTGGCCACGCTCTCCTCGCTCTTCTTCTCGCTGTGCTCGGTGATTGTCAAGGGCCTGGTGGATGTGAATCCCATGGAGCTGGCCTCGTTTCGCTTCGTGGGCGTCCTGCTGCCGGCGCTTCCCATCCTGATCTACACCCGTCAGCCGGTATTTCCGGAGGGCAAGCGGGTGATCCTGCTGCTGCGCTGCTTCATGGGCACCACGGGCCTAATGCTCAGCTTCTACGCCTTCCGGCACATGCCCTTGGCGGATGCGAGTGTCATTATCTTCTCCACGCCCGTTTTCGTGGCCATTTTTGCCAGGGCCTTCCTGAAGGAGCCGTGCACGCTGTTCAATGTCCTGACCATCAACATGACATTGGCGGGGGTAGTGCTGATCACAAGGCCACCCTTTCTGTTTGGAGATTCCGGAGAGAGTGAGGATGTCTCTGACAAGACGTACGACATCTGGGGACCCGTGGCCGCCATTTCATCCACACTGTTTGGCGCGAACGTATACATCCTGCTGCGAGCCCTCAAGAACCTGCACTTCTCCGTGATCATGACGAACTTCGGAACCGTTGCCCTGGTCTACACCCTGGTCGTGTGCGGATCCATTGGAGCGGTCTGCTGGCCCAGCTGCGGACGGGATCGCTGGCTGGTCGTGGTCCTGGGCGTGTTCAGCTTCCTGGGCCAGATCCTGCTCACTTTGTCCCTGCAGATCGAGCAGGCCGGACCGGTGGCCATCGCCCGATGCGCCGACATCGTGTTCGCCTTCGTCTGGCAGATGCTCTTCTTCGGCGAGACGCCTACCGCCTACTCCCTGGTGGGTGCCGTCATGGTGATGGGATCCGTGGTCCTGACGGCCCTCAAAAAGTGGGCCGGCACTCTGCCTCGCGAGTCCTCGCTGAGAAAGCGATTCAAGCTCATCCTATTGGAATAAAAGTTTCACATCGGTTAAAGAAGTTTGCGGTTTCTCCCCCGTCTTGCCATCGTTCTCACCCCAATCCCTGCCAGCATCAGCAGCAGGCACCAAACCATTTCATTCATCGTAGACTTAATTTATATCAAGGCTCAGATTGTAGTTTAATCAACAGAAATCAGAAGAAAGGGAAGCGTGATAACCACTCCACTCATAAGTAAATACTCGTAGTGCGTGTTTAGTTTAGCCAATTTCGCCGATTTGTTGTTTTGTACATTGTTATACATGCTTAAAATATCATAATAAATAAACCTATGAGTAAAATGGCACCGCTATAATTTCATTTTGAATTATGCGGGTAGAGGGCTTCCACTCTCACACATTTCTACACTTTACATATTTTCTACATACGCTTCTTCGGAATTTGTTTTGATTTGTGTAAAATAAATATACAAATTTATCAAACTATCAACATTTTACTCTTTTTTGTTTTTATTAAACATATGACTTGTAGAGAAAATGTAGAAATATGCTGCAGTGGAAACAGCCTGTAAGTAGATATTTCTCAAGAGATTAATCGACACATCGATTGCAGAATCAATTTAACTTCCATCTCTAGATTTTCGTTTGTTTGTTTGTTTATTATTGTTGATGTTTATATTCTCGAAGCACACTCGAAAGAAAAGGAACGGAAACAGAAACAGAAAACAGGCTGCCAGGATCTAGAAGCCCAGATCGGCGATAACCGCGTCCAGTTCGTCCTGCAGATTGGTGGCCCGCGATCGCACCTGCACAATTTGATCCTGCAAATTGTCGACGTTCGCCTGGAGCAGCACATTGCACTTCTTCATCGCCGCGAACCGGCTCTCGTGCTTCTTCACCCGCGGCTCCACATTCGCCTTCTTCGCGGAGTTGGGCGAGTCCTGTAGGATATTTTACGGGTAAGTGGGCGGAATAACAGGGGATTTCCAACTTGTTAACTCACCTCCGGCTCGGACTCGCTGCCCGTCTCCGCCTCGCTGGCCTCCGAATCCGACTCCTCGGATTCATCGTCGGATTCCTCCTCCTCCTCGCTGGCATGCTCCTCCTCGGCCTCCTCCTCATCCTCGTCTTTCTCCTCGCCGTCCACATCGTCCTCGTCCAGCTTCATGGAGGCGGCCATCTTTTGCACCTCCTTCTCCAGCTTCTTAAACTTCTTGTTCTCCTCCCTGGAATCAGAAGATGTTAAATGATACAACTATAGTTTTTAAACCTCTTAAATCCCAAACTCACTTGAGGATCACATGGTTCTTCTTCATGGCCTGCTTGAGGGCATCCTTCTCCTTCTTGGCCGCCTCCTCCTTGACCTTTAGCTTAGTGAGCTTGCTGCGGAGGACCTTCAGCTCCTTGCCCGAGCGTCGCTCCCTGCGCTCCACCTTCTTCTCCTCCGGCTCGTCGGGATCACTTTCGCTGACCTCGGGCTCCAGTTCCGGAGAGCTGTCCCTTCCGAAGTTGGCATCGCTGGGTCGTCGCGACCCGTCCAGGGATCCACCACCCTGGGGACGCAGTTCATCCAAATGGAAGTATGGGAAAATAGGGGGTACAGAGATCGGATTAGTGAGGGCATCCTCTGACGGAACCTGGCTTTACCTGGTGCCGTGCTGCATGGTAGTGGTCGTAGTGGAAGCAATCGTCGTAGTCGTCGTCGTCGTAAGCAAAGCAATTACTAATGTGCGGTCTGTTAGTGCTTGGTGTCCCCTTTGTAAGAGAGCGTGTTAATCGGTTAGTTGCTGCGGAGTGCAAGAGCAAAGCTTCCAGGCGCGGAGGATGGGAGACCGGACGTGTTCTGAACGGGTCATATATCCGCTTGGGTCTGGGTGGGATCGGGAAGAGGAACTCTGGCATGCGGCATGCAAGCGGCATTCGGAGATTGAGGCTTTCTGCATACGATTTCTTTGGGACTTTATATATATATATATATGTTAATATGTTTATATATTATATGTATCATAGCTAAACTGTTGGACTAATTTGAAAAGTAAACATTTAATATTCAGGCAAGTGAGTATTTACTTTACCAAAAATTCTTGATACCAAATACTCACAAAAACTTGGTAATAATAAACTTTTTACGTTTTTTTTGCCTGCAAAGTTCATTTTCTTTTGGCTAAAATTTTGTTGAAGCCAACCGAAAGCATAATTAAGGAACGAAAAATGTCAAACCAGACCCACTGTTTCACATCTTGTAAATATATGGCTTCCAAAATATAACAAAAATGTGCAAATAAGTTAGGCCACTTTTGAATTTGATTACTCTGTTTGGTTCAATTATTTTTTTTTTTGTGGCAGGTTTGATTTTATTATTCCCAGAGCATCGTGTGCAAAGCAAACCGTCGTTAAGCAGGAGTTGTTCGTATTTAGAGGGGAGTTTCTAGAAGTGCTTTTTCCCAGACCCATCCCAGATTTGTGTCAAGTGTTGTCAGCTGATCTGTTTCTCTGACTACAGTGGCTACTAGGGACAACTAACGAGGGGTCTAAAGTGGAGGCTACTGATGGCGGTGGCTTCGTTAGCTGCTCCCATCTATTTGCCGCCCTCAGCGGACGCAGCGAGGCGACGCCGATGAGACTAAAAACAAGAAAGCAAGACTAGCTTCGGGGTCCGATGCTTGGAGAGTAATTGTTTATACTATGGATAATGCTACAGGTAAAACAATAGTATAGTATATAGAGCTCTAAAGCCCTGTCCTATCGCAATTTAGGAAATTGAGAAAAAAACGTGACAAAAAATATAAGTACAGTACGGGAATAATAAATATTTTACAGATTACAATCTAAACCATTGCTATCCCTTGGAGGAATATATAAAGAATAGAGGAATACGAACCCGAACCCAAATCCTATTCTCAACTGACAACACTTTTAGCGACATCCTGTCATTATAATGCCGAACCCAGTCACGAAATCCGACTAACCTGTAGAGCCGCCGCTAATTTGCGCTCGAGCAGCTGAATCTGGCGGCGCTGCTCCTCGATCTCCGTCTTGGCCTCCACCAGCAGCTCACTGGTGCTCTGGTAGTTTTGTTCCACCTCCTTGGACGTTTTGCGCGCATCCTCCACCTCGCGTTTCAGGGAGTTCACGTAGGTCTGTTCGGCGGTGGGCGTGGGATCCATGGTGGCCACAATCACATTGGATCCGTACTCGAGGTTCTTCTCGCGTGATTTCTCGCGCTCCAGTTCGGTTTCCAGGGTTCGAATCTTGGCCAGCAGCTTCTTGTTCTCGCGCTCCTGGGCCTCCCGGTTGCGCAGCTCCAGGGCGAGCATCTGCTTGGTGCTCTGCAGGTCGTCGCGGATCTTGTCAATGTCGTCCAGCTCGTCGGGACTCTCCTCGTCGATGGACATGGCCGAAACGATGCTGGGCCGGGATCCTCCAGCTCCCAGGGCTGTGGCACTGCCAGGACCGAGGGCATGACTGCTGGGTGCCTCGCTCAGCATGTTGACCTTCGACTGCGACTTCTGCAGCTGCTCCTCGATGGTCATCTGGCGGCGGAACTTGCGCAGACCGTCCAGCACCGGCTTGCTGCGATCGTTGGTCTTGGTCGGCTTCAGCTTGATGCCGCCCTGGATCTGCTTGAGCAGCTTGTTGTGCGAGTTGCCCTTCTCCGTTTCGTAGATGAACTTGTCGTCCACCTTTGTCATTGACTTGCACGTCAGGATGGGCTGAGATCTGTGAAGATGAAAAAGATAGAAGGGAGAGACACTCCACTAAATAATACTACATAGTTGCATAACTTGAACAACAGAGAATTTATACTTTTGTATCATTTATTATTCCGATTGTTCCTATGGGACCTATGTAATAGAGTGGACTGATATTATACCTGAAACATTAAAAAGCTCTTGTAAAAGTTGTATCTACATATTAAAACTGAGAGACTAGTTGCGTAGAATCGGAAAAACGGGCATGGCTAGATCGAGTCTCTCAAGAATTCTGATCAAGAATATATTTTGTATACCTACAATGTCTCCCTAAAATGTCTCTTTCAGTACGTTGCAAACTTTTCACTTGAATTTTAATTCCCTCTGTAAGGGTAAAGAAAAGTGAATCTAAATTGTAAACCAATTTATTTGGAATTATTTAACCATCCACACGTATAGTGCCGTATTCACTGTAAATTGTTTTAAGATTTTCCCGCTGTGGCTTTAAATTTCTGGGGTCGTAATACCATTTTTAATTATTGCGAGTGTTTCAATAGGTAATTACTGCGCAGCATGCGAATACCACTCACCTATCGTTGCAGGCCACATGGCGCAGCTTCTTGCCGCTCTCCACCTCCTTCATCATCTCGGACCAGTCCGGACGCCTTCGGGGTCGTGTCCTGCGAATCGATGCGGATCGGGATTATAGTCATCCTGCGCCTCGAAAGGGAAAGCTATCCGCATAGCAGATATTTTGGGCTGCAGGCGTTCAGGGGTTCGGGGGTCAGGAGTCGGGTGCTCCACTTACCTCAGCTTCTCGAGAGTGTCCTTTTGGTTGCTGGTGAGCACTCTTTTCTCGCCGGGGGCCAGGGGCGGGGGCGGCGGTGGCGGGGCCTTGGGAACCAACGAGGGCAGCGGCGGCGGGGCGGGAACTGCAACAATAAAACACGGAATGCACCCAAGTGGGTGGCGGTTATTCTCTGTCTGGCGATGGGGCACTCGTTGGGTGGTGCAACTGGGGCCGAGGTTCGGGCATCGTTGGGCATTAGAGCAAATCGCCTGGCGCTGCGTGCACTCGCGGTTATTAAATATAATTTTAATTTAATGAGTTTGCAATTTGTGTCAGTTGTTTGTTGTTCTTTTGGCTCCAGCGGGGTTTTTAAGTTCACCCGCCGGAGGGTTGGCCACCCCAGCATTTAGTTGTGCCTTGCGGGCAAAGTTGCTCCATACATATCAATACAGGGTAAAGAGAAAGTATGGGCAGTACACTCAAACCTTAAATTGATATTTATCTGTTTTTTAAATTTCTAATATAGTAGGATACCCACTTTATTCCCAATGAAATGTTGGATATAAGTTAATTGTTCAACATAGTTGCTACTACTGATTTTGTTATTCACCGACT